TAAAAAATGAGAGAAAAAGAGAGAAGGGGCAATGTTACTATCCTTTTACCACACTTGTGCTTCAGAGTAGCACCATGTTCTTCATATAGAGAGTCTCTTGAGTTATCACTTTCATATACTAGTGGGAATTTTTTTTATAGAACTTGGCTTGTATATTCTGATGATGGGCTTCCTCAAACGCCTGCCTGGCACTGTATGGGTATAGGTATGGCGTGCAGGCGCCCGAGATCTTCATGAGCAAGCAAGTTGGATGCACACCCACTTAGTTTCCAGTTTGAGCTTTCATACACTTATAGCTCTTAGTGCCTCCGTTGCATGGCAATCCCTACTCCTCGCATTGACATCAATTGATGGGCATCTCCATAGCCCGTTGATTAGCCGCGTCGATGTGAGACTTTCTCCCTTTTTGTCTCTCCACATAAACCTCCACCATCATATACTACTCCACCTATAGTGCTATGTCCATGGCTTGCGCTCATGTATTGCGTAAGAGTTGAAAAAGCTGAAGCGCGTTAAAAAGTATGAACCAATTGCTTGGCTGAAACCGGGGTTGTGCGATGAAAATGAAGCATGGCCTAATTGTATGATATTGTAGGGATAGCGTTCTTTAGCATTGATATTTTAAAAGACATGATTGTTTGTTGGGATGCCCTAAGTATTATTGTTTTTATGTCAAATGATAGACTATTGCCTTGAATCACTCGTGTCCTAATATTCATGCCATGATTAGACATATGTTCAAGATTATGCTAGGTAGCATTCCACATCAAAAATTATCTTTTTTATCATTTACCTACTCGAGGATGAGCAGGAATTAAGCTTGGGGATGCTGATACGTCAGCGTCATATCTATAATTTTTGATTGTTCCATGCCAATATTCTTCACCTTTCATATACTTTTGGCAACTTTTTATACTATTTTTGGGACTAACATATTGATCCAGTGCCCAGTGCCAGTTTCTGTTTGTTGCATGTTTTATGTTTCGCAGAAAACCCATATTAAATGGAGTCCAAACAGGATAAAATGGACGGAGAATTATTTGGAATATTTATTATTTTTGGGAAGTAAAATCAACGCGGGACAGTGCCCGAGGGGGGCAGGAGACAAGGGGCGCGCCCTGGACTCTCCTGGGCACCCCGTAAGGCGGTTGATGCTCTTCTTTTGCCTCAAGAAAGCTAATTTTATGAGAAAGATCTGGGCGAAAGATTCACCCCAATCGGAGTTACGGATCTCCGGATATAAAAGAAACGGTGAAGGGGCAGAATCTGAGAACGCAGAAACAGAGAGATACAGAGAGATAGATCCAATCTCGGAGGGGCTCTCGCCCCTCCCATGCCATGGGAGCCAAGGACCAGAGGGGAAACCCTTCTCCCATCTAGGGAGGAGGTCACGGAAGAAGAAGAAGAAGAAGGGGGGCTCTCTCCCCCTTGCTTCCGGTGGCGCCGGAGCGCTGCCGGGGGCCATCATCATCACCGCGATATTCACCAACACCTCCATCATCTTCAGCAACATCTCCATCACCTTCCCCCTTCTATATTCAGCGGTCCACTCTCCCGCATCCCGCTGTACCCTCTACTTGAACATGGTGCTTTAGGCTTCATATTATTATCCAATGATGTGTTGCCATCCTATGATGTCTGAGTAGATTTTCATTGTCCTATCGGTGATTGATGAATTGCTATGATTGGTTTGAGTTGCATGTTTTATTATTGGTGTTGTTCTATGGTGCTCTCCATGTCTCTCAAGCGTGAGGGATCCCCGTTGTAGGGTTTGCAATATGTCCATGATTTGCTTATGGTGGGTGGCGTGAGTGACAGAAGCACAGACTCGAGTAAGTAGGTTCTTTGCGTATGGGATAAAGGGGACTTGATGCTCTAATGCTATGGTTGGGTTTTACCTTAATGATCTTTAGTAGTTGTGGATGTTTGCTAGAGTTCCAATCATAAGTGCATATGATCCAAGAAGAGAAAGTATGTTAGCTTATGCCTCTCCCTCAAATAAAATTGCAATAGTGATTATCGGTCTAGTAAAGTAGTCAATTGCTTAGGGACAATTTCACAACTCCTACCACCACTTTTTCACACTCGCTATATTTACTTTATTGCTTCTTTATCTAAACAGTCCCTACTTTTTATTTACGTGCTCTTTATTATCTTGCAAACTTATTCAACAACACCTACAAAGTACTTCTAGTTTCATACTTGTTCTAGGTAAAGCGAACACTAAGCGTGCGTACAGTCGTATCAGTGGTAGATAGGACTTGAGAGAGTATTTGTTCTATCTTTAGCTCCTCGTTGGGTTCGACACTCTTACTTATTGAAAGAGGCTACAATTATACCCTACACTTGTGGGTTATCAAGACTCATGCCACACACACACAATTTCCATCATATCGCTCGATTATCATATCACACACACATAAACATATTTCCATTTGGCAAAAGCATGAAATTTTAATTACCTCTATCTCGAGATCGAGCACACGGTGGATATGATGATGTAGGAAGATCAAAAGTGCACAAAGCTCTTCTTGACAAATATAGATCTAATTAGGGGGTGAATAGGTCACTTAACTAAATGCTACATCTACGTAGCTAGCTAATTTTGGAGGAGACAACTTCAACTAGTGGAGGGGGAAGGAAAAAGAGAAAGGAGATGCATTAATGGAGGTGGTGTAGTTAGCTAGGAGTAATGAAGAGAGAGAAAGGTAGGTAGAAGAGGGAGAGTAACGGGGGGACAAGTATTGAGGAGGAAGAAGAGTGAGAGAGGGAGGCTGTGGGAGGTAGGGGAAAGGGAAGAGAGGAGATGGAGGAGGGGAGGACGGGTGGGAAAGGTGGTGGTGTGTTGCGTCTTAGCAGTAGCGCGGGAGGAAAAACGTGCTACTGATAAGAGCGTAGCAGCAACGCACTTTTCCCACACGCGCTACTGCTAAGCGGGGCCAACCATGTGGCCAATTTCAAAATTAGTAGCAACGACCTGAGTAAAAAGCGCGCTACTACTATTGCATTAGCAGTAGCGCGTGCCGCGACACCGCGCTGCTGCTAAACTTAGGTTGGTGGATACTGTCGGTCGATATTTATAGCAGCGCGGTTTAGCCAGCACGCGCTACTACTAAATTTGTATTAGTAGCGAGTTCTGGCTACCCACGCTACTGCTAGCTTCTTTTTGTGCCGCGCTGCTGCTAACATTTTGTGTATAAGATTTTCCCTAGTAGTATGGGCCACATACCCATACCTCGCACCTAAGCCTAACATCTAAAGTCGGAAGCCCCGACCGAGCCATCTGCCGGGTCTAGGGCTCAAACCGGTCTGACGCACTCACATGTATCGTCGCCGCCATCTTCCACTGGTCCATCTTCAGAGCAGACTGAGGTGACAACCTTGGCAGGTCCTCCGCCATCGACGCCACCACGACACCAAACGATGACCTTCACCTACGCGAGCCTTGGCAGGTCCTCCGCCATTGACACCACCACGACGCCAGCCGACGACCTCCACCTACGCGAGTCCATCTCCAAGCAACAGACGTAAATCCATGCTAGGAAAGGGCCGCATCACCGCCGTCGCCCACCACCCACAAGCGTCACCCAACCCCAAGGTTCCCAAAGCGGCGCCTTCAAGAAGGGAACGGCGCCGTGAACGCCGCCGCCGCCCAACAGAGTTAGGGCTTTCGCCCGGGAGACCTAGGGGAAGGTGAAGTGAGGAGATCAGTCCATACCGACGCCTCCAAGGAGGAAACGACGCCCTCAAGCGTCGCCGTCGGCGCAGCCGGTCATGGCCGGCCAGGGATTTAGCCCGAACTAGATCTCCACCACCACCAGCACCTCCTGTACAGAACCGAGACCGAGAGGAAGCGCGGCCCGACCAGGCTGACCTGCACGCCGAACAGGGGAGGAAGGGAGGCGCCAGATCGCGCACACCGACCGCGGCAGAAGCCGCCGCCGGCCGCCAACGACCACTGGATCCTGCCGCCCGCACGACTAGGACACCGGATCCACCACCCGCACGGCTGTTAGTCGGCCGTGCCTTGCCAATGAAGCCACCGCTCCAGATCCGGGGTTCCCCACATAGGAGCAGGGCAACCGAGTCCCTGCCGCCACCATCATTATTTCTATTTCACTTACGATGGACCGAATCCACAGGTCAGAAGACATCGTGCGACTCTTCGCATCGTGACCTCACTCATTCTCAACATGGTTTTAGGATGCTCAAGTATAATTGTTTGCAATTAGGTGGGTTTTTTTAGGAAACAAGATTCAAATAAAACTCCAGAAGCAAACTAAATATCCTAAAAATTAACAACTTCCAGTAAATAATTGAGCAAAAACCAAAAAAGCAAAGATTTTCTACTCATAAATTGGGAAAGGGATCATCCATCAATAAATAAGAAGTCAAAAACTTGGATAAGAGACTACTATAATAAACACTTCATTTACTCAAGTTTGAACAAACATTCCGAAAAAATAATTCCAGTACAAAAGTATCAACCTGGCAGCTAGTTCTTATCAGTAGTTGTAGAACTTGGCCGGCCATAATCGCCCAAAAATTTCAAATGCAACATGACAAATCAAACTGCAACAGCTATGGTATTACTCTTATTGCAAACTGTTTTTCACGTCACACATTATGTCTTCACACAAATAAGCATGCAGGAAAAGCAGTGGGTAAAGGGACAGGGGGTTTTTCACTATAGCTAAAGAAGGCCTAAAAAGAGACGTTAATGTTTGCAGTTGATCAAGTGATGCAGATGAGCGATATATGAATATATCATCACCAAATCACAACCAGCAACTGCAAGCAACGGAACGTTTCAAGGAGCATAGGAAACTGATCGACACATTACACGGCAAGTCAAAAATATCTGCTGATTAGTCTGCTGCTTACCGGGCAACAAGCCTCAAATTTCACAGACCATCGCAAGGGCAGCACAGCGAGCAACAGATACCGCCACACTTCACAGTTTGCATCAAAAACAGATCCACTTCACAGAAACTATAAGCTCAGCTGGCTTCCTCCTCCACCGTCGTCACCGTAAACGGGTCCTCAAAGTTGAAATCTGCCCCAATTTTGAGGCTCCAAGCATCGCGTCCTGCAGGATGGCTACTCCCGATGATGCACTTTTGGCAGGATTTACTCTTCATGTTTCTAGCGCTGTATTGCGCCTTGACAAACGCCTCGTCCTCCGAGAACGGCGTGGAGCTTGGATTGGCCATGAAAATAGCTACCATCTCCAGCGCCCGCGCACTCTGAAAGACATACTCCAGGAAGCCAACCTCGCCTCGGTCCCCTTTGAACTCACGGAAAGTCATCACGTTGATGCGCGAGACGACGTTCTCAATGGGACCAGAATCCTCCCAGAACTTGACGGTGAGGTGGTCAACAGTGGGTTTATCACATTTATCACTCTACAAAATAAATAGATTAAATAGATCAACAGTTGGGAAAGCATCTGAGGAAGGCCGACATGACGAATAAAATTAGTTATGTTGTTGCAGAAATGACAGATCGATAATACTTCCATGCATTAAACCAGTAACCTACTAGAACAGAAAAACCACCGTGCTGGCATTGTCACTATATATACAGCCTCTCACGTACAACAAATTAAAAAATGAGCCGACAAATTTCATTCTACCGTGGAGATCTTAAACATGTGGACTGTTTGCTAGATGTGCCAGACATTTTGCAATTACCGATCGAGTGGCATTAAGCACAAAATTGCAGGCAGAATATGTGGTAGTTTAATCGGTTTGAAATAAGCATTGCGTGCCATTCGCATCATCCATTCCACAGCACAAATACTGCTAGCTAGCTAATATGAAGAACATGCCAGAAAAACTGAAACAAGAAAATCTGGACATGCCAGAAAATCAAGCAAAGCAATAGAAATCACAGTGCTATGTGTACGATGATTTGCATCCGATTTTGATACAACACTGTACATCGAACAGTTATGCGTGGCAGAGAATGCAGCACTGCGGCCAGATTGAGCGCCGTACAAAGATCAGACCCCATATTGTCGTATGCATAGTAGTTTCGAAACCAAAATAATGACACGATGAAGTGTGGCACAGCAAAACTTCGTAATAAATGTCTTAACATAAACTGATGAACAAGCAAGCCCATAATTCTAATTTCTAAATGTGTACTCTAGTTTGCGTGCATAAAGACGACCTGATGGCTGAGAATAAATACCAACAATGCTGGGCTTTTCTAGCTATCCTGGTCAAGCGCCTACTCATGTTGATGATAGTATCATCATCCTATTTTGTTATTCATGGGCAAATTACTTAGCCTAGCATGCAAAACTACAAACATGGCTCACATTTCACAGTAGAAGAAAATAATTAAACCATAAAAAAAACTAATGATAATTGACTTGACAGATCTACGCAAATAAGTGAGAACACCATAAGCAACAAAATCTGCTGCAAGTTGGGAAAAATCTTTCAAGTCACGTGTAGAGGAAATTATCAATATTGTAAGCAGAGCAAGAAGAGAATAAGCTGAAATAAATTGGTCTGTACACAGTTTCCATTCGCTGTCTGGCAAGAAAAGGTTTGACAAGGCAATTGTATCATTGTACTATTATGAAAGTCCTTTTTTAAGAGCGCATAGAGCATTTTTGCAGCTAAAAGACTCAGAATGTACACCACATGCAGAGCTAACTGCTCAGCACAAAATACTGCAAACTATACTGGTCCATAACTAAATGCTGAATCCAATTGTAGGAGATGTGACAACTAGGAACCTCGACCACAACTCTATACTTCAATGGATGAATGTACCAGAATGTAATAATTACCAAATAGCCTAGTAGTGCAGAGAAAAGAAAAGAATGGTAAGATCCGACCATAATTCATGGACAGCAAATTAAGATCTATGTGAGACTGCAATCTTCAGTCCACCATGGACGATTCCAGTCTTAACCGCATTTTATCAGATATGTTCTTCGATAAGAATTTCCGGATGTGAATCACAATAGCCTCTTTCTATAACAAATTAATCGGAGATAAATTCCTAAGATCCTGATATGATAAAACTAGCGTACTAGGATAAATATAACGATTGTGGTGATACCAATACCAGAAAAGCCTCAGGAAAATGTCTACTTGAATGTGCTAGTTTACCATGTATAACTTACATATAAGTCTGAAATACGCATTGCATCTGTTACAGTACCATAGCGCAGATACTAGGAACTTGTATGAACACAGTGAGAAACACTAGAACAAGAAAATCTGGACATACTTAAAGAAGCAAGGCACTATAAATCAAAGTATCAGAATAATAATCATTGTGCCACAAGAAAAAGCTCTTACCAAGTGTCACAGCATGAACATAGACAGGCCAGCATGAAACCCTTTATAACTCTAACTGTGTAGCCTAGTCAACATATCTAGATTGTCGAGAAGACTAGATGGTGGCTGAGAAGAAATGGCAAGGCATGAAAATTAAGCTATAGCAGGTCAAATATGTTACGCGCCATACATTACAGTGGACAATACCAAGAAGATCATATAACTAAAGAGCTATCATAATGAGTGACTCGAAGCTTGCAATCAAACATAATATGCAGTCTCTCCTCAACCACATATAAAGAGCTATCAAATATGAAAACCTATCAGCCTATCAAGAGTTGGAGCCGGAGCCGGGGGCGGAGCTGGTGGCGGAGCCGATCTTGGACTTGGGCTTGGAGATGGAGACGGACTTGAGCTTGGAAACGGTGCCGGGCTTGGAGTTGGAGACGGCCTTGGCGCGGGCCTTGGCCTCCTCGTCCTCGTACCACTCACTGATCTTCCCTTGGAGCCGAGTCTTGACCTCCTCCATGCCCTTGTCGACTTCCTCAGTTGCAGCGGGCGGAGCTGAGCCGGGGGGCATGATGGCGATGTACGAGAAGCCCCCAAGCGCCGCGGCCGAAAGGGACACCAACGCGCACACCTTTGCTGAAGTCCGGGTGAGATCCAAGGCGGCATCGGTTTCCTTCTTGTGGAGTGTGGCGGTGAGGTTCGTGACCTTGGATGTCAGTGCCTGCATGGACCTGGCCGTGGCGTCGTATCTGGCCGACGAGGCCGTCTCCACCCGCTCCACTTCCGAGGCTGCCATCTTCGCCACGGCGGAGTCGCAGAGCTGGCGGCGGGCGGCGGGCGCGGGGCGGACGAGGGCGGCGCTGGTGTCGGTGGCGGCGGAGCAGAGAAGGGCATGGACGGCGGCGGGGCGGTGGCGCGCGGCGGAGCGGAGGATGGAGGCGCCCATGGTGGATGGTGGGGGGGAGGATGGAGGAAACCCTAACAACACGAGGCGCAGCCGATTCGATGTGCGGTTCGGATCCTATAGCGCCGGGGCGACCGGGTTTGTTCTAGCCGTCCGATCGTCGGATCGGATCAGGTCGCCTTGCTTGGGCCAGGCCGCGATCTACTTATATTACGTTGTCTCAAAAAAAATCTACTTTGAACTGTGTTGGATGTGTCTCAACTGTGTAAAACATCTTATAAAACGGATCAGACGAAGTGCTTCTTATTCTGCGCCCTTCCAGACTCTCTTTTTCTTTCTCCTTTTTATTTGGCCTCTTTTTCATTATTTTTTACTTGGGTTCTTATTCTCTGTTTTCTTTTCCTTTTTCTCTTTTCTTTTATTTTTAAAAATAGGTGAACATTTCAAATTCAAAACTTTATTCAAATTGTGAATTTATTTCAATTTCATCAACTTTTTCTTTTCAAATTCATGAACCTTTTTTAAAATATATGAAGTTTTCTCCAACTCGTGAACTTTATTTTTATCAAAATTGATGATTTTTTTTCTCAAACCCGTTAACTTTTTATTCGAAATCTGGTGAATCTTTTTTGAATTTGTGATTTTTTTTTGCAAAATGGATGATCTTTTTCTAATTCATGAACTTTTTTTCAAAATTGATGAATGTTTTCAAATTCCTGAACTTCTTTATCAAAATCAATGAAATTTTCTAAATCTGTGAACTTTTTTTATTAATATTGATGAACTTTTTTAAATTCGTGATTTTTATTTAAAATCCGTGAACATTTTGAATCTGAACTTTTTTTCAAATTGATGAACTTTTTTACACTTTTGTGTTTTTCCAAAATTCGTGATTTTTTATATCATGAATTTATTTCAATTTTAAGACCTTTTACTTTTTTGTGATTTTTTTGGTTTTCTTAGGGTGTTTTCAAAAGTCAACTCCTGACTGGTCAACTCGTCAATCGTCGGCCGGGCAACCATTGATCGAAAGGAAGTGAGTTGCGCGCCTGCCAAGGGATCGCGTCACGCGCTAATGGGACGACCCATATATGCAGGTGCGTGGTCGGCATGAAGCTGTTCGGCCACTTAAGGCACCGAACATGAGCTCATACGCGCCGCATTCGGGATATAGTCCTGTCCGCGGGTATCTTATGTTTACCACAAGACCAGCTCAGTAGTATTCTTTTCTTTTTGAAAATGGCTAGCCCAGTTTTTTTGTTCTTTTGCATAATACTCAACCGAGATCTACTTGCTTTTGTCAGCCCTATTGGGCTGCAAATCTTTCAAGACGAGGAGAATTTCATTCGGCTTGCCCAGAAAATGGGCTATCAGTAATTAGAAAGGGGTTGTACATTTTTAAAACACATCGAACCGGCAATTAGTTTCAAATTTTTTTCTTCAATTTGAGATTTAAAATTTCATTGATTTTTATGCATGGACAATTATTTAGATTTTATATTGATATAAATTTATTTTTCAAATTAGTTTGAATGTGACTTGAAATTTCGGATTAAAAACAGTTCGGAACGCACCGAAATATGCAAAATTTTGTAGAATTTTTAACTGTGGCCACAATATGAGCTGTAATGCTAACAAAAAGAATATGGGCTCCAAAAAAATCCTTAAGAATTAGCAAATGGGATGTAAACTATTAAAAATATGGCATATCGGTTGTATGTTGTTTTCCATAGATTTGAGGCTGACTTGTGCGCCTACTATTATAGGTTGACGCGTACGCTTTCCCAAATAAAAGGTTGACGCGCACGCAAGGTCGTGTCAACTTAGTCAACACACGAAAGCAGTCACTGTTGGATGTCCATCCAACGGCCGTCGTGCTTCTTCAATCTCTGATCTTCCTGCTCCAGCCGCTCAAACCCCTGCCGGCAAGACTGCCAGCTACCTCCTTCCATGGCCAGCTTTGCTGCCACGCAGCCCTCACCGGCTCACCCTACTCCCACTGTTGGCCAGGTCATCCCACTACCCACCCGCACCTCTTGTTATTTTTCAGCAACGGCAGCCTCACCCCCGCAATCGACCAGTCAGCCCTCGTACT